AGTTCTCAGCCAATCTGGCGTCTCCAAAGCAGAAATAAAAATATTTCATTTTCCTTCGGTTCATGTGTCTGATAACAAAATTTTTATTATCGCAGGGCAAAAAGTCTGTTTTGTCAAAAAAAAAAAAAAAAAACTTAACCAGTGAAACTACTTGTGTGGGATTTTAATTTTCCATACCCAGTTCGGGCTCCACACCTGTGTTTTGTCAATTATCAAAATCTAAACGTTTTCAAGTGGACTTTCTTTGGTGACATCTCTTGATAACACAATTCCATTCGCGCGGACAGTGGAAATCGGTCAATGCTTGTTCGCAGGTGGCCTAGATATTGATAAACCAATAGTTCATTGTGAAATGAAACTCCTTTCGACATTTGACACTTATCCAAAATAACCCTTTTCTTTCTTATCTTTTCTTAAGCCGTGTGTGTGTTCGCCTATGATCCGTTTCGCATTACTTTTCCCTTTTCCCTTTCTTCGTTTTTCTTTCTTTCTTAAAACCTAAAATACATTTCGAAAGAATTAAATAATCCAAAAAAATGGTTGATAAACCGTAAAAAAAAGCAAATCATATATCTATAAATATATCTTTCAAATCGCCTGGATGCATGGTGCCACAATATGTTGTCAGCATTAGGAATGGTCTAGGAAAGCCGATAGGAACATTCAGCTATAACACATGATGACAGCGGATGAGACCAGGATCCAAAGTTGGACTCCATGACTCCGGGGTTGCATTTACGGGACAACCTTTCATGCGCAACTGCCTATGCAAGAACCCCGATATTATGCAACTGTTGATATACCCTACTATACTATTTAGCTACAGAGGAAGCGTCTGGTTAGCCAAGTTAAATTACATACAGAGTGATAGCAAAGTAACTCCTCATATGAGTGGCCAGCCAGGAGTCCTGACAACATCATGTGACATTTTTCTTTGGGTTTGGTTATCGGAGTATGTCTATTGGACGAAACCAAGACTTTGGATGAACTTGAAGAGCGAATAAAAGAAGTTATGTCTTCCATACCACAAGAGTTCCTGGCGAAATCAATTGACGCGAAAAAAAAACGAGAAAAAAATGTGCGTTGAAATCTGATGATTTTATCAATTTCAAATAAAATCTAAACGCTTTCTTATATCCATTTCCTGTAAAAATTATGCTTAATAAATTATAAGCATTTTAAAATGGGGAGCTCGAGCTCCTATATATATATATATATATATATATATGTGTGTGTGTGTGTGTGTGTGTGTGTGTGTGTGTGTGTGTGTGTGTGTGTGTTTAAATAAGTTTTTCGTGGTACAGAATTTAATGATAGATAGGTAAAGACAATATTTATATTCATTTTTAAAAGCTAAAATAAAAACAACCAGTTTCGTCAAGTGTCTTAGGAAGTTTATTTATTCTGGGAATTTAAAAAGCGTGTAAATTGGTTTTTTTAATTGTGGAATGTAATCATGGGGGAAAAAATTATGAAGGATAAAACTAGCTGTCCAATAATTTCAGATCCAGCAATCATTCTCTGTTTAAAAGGGGCTCACCTAATTCCCAGATTGCAACGACTCTAGATTATTATGTGAAATGCGCAGTGGGACCTAGATAAACCAATAAATCGGTCACCAAAGATGAACTGAATTTCCTTCTATTTATTAAATGTTCAGCAATAGTAAACCAGAAATGTTAGAAGAGTTGGCTATTCCTGAAGTCGTCTCAAAATCTGGGGGGTAAATGGTGATTTTATTCTCACTATATATATTGATATTTTTTTATATTTTTAGCAATTTATTTATTGATTTCCTGCATTTGTGATTGTTGATTTATAAAAGATGATTTTAATTTTTGGGAAACTTTTGAAAACAAATTATCCATAACCAATTTCTATCTTCTTTCTAATCAACAGAAACAAAACTGACCCGCGTCTGTGTCTCCTTTTCTCTTCCCTCACATAAAATCGCTCTTTTTGTTTCTCGCGAGATTTTCTTTCGTTTATCGAGAGACCTTCTTTCATTCATTCTTTTGTGCCTTTTGATTCTTTGATAAGAAAGTTGCATGCTTGTTATTCTTGCTCCCATTTCGCAGACATTCTGCAAAAATCTAAAGACACTCTAAATTTCTGCATTCCATTCAAGCTTCCGTGTCAGTCAAAATAACAACTCATTCGCTTGGAAAACAACCAGTTTATTTAAATTTTAACGTCATTGCCTCAATCTCTCTCGCGTTTGGTCTACCTTTTCCTTCATTTCTCCTTTTCTTTATGCACCACACATTCAGTTTTTACTTTCTTTCTCTCACATTCACCAATATTTTGATGCTTTTTTCCATTCTGATTTCACTTATTTAACCTTTTCTTTTTTTGTCTTAAAAAGTTAAATTGCATTTATTTTTCTTTTTAAAATTCTTATTTTCTTCTTGTTTTCACTTTTTTTTCTTGCTTTTCTTTTCTTCTTGTCTTCCGCTGATAACGTCTCTGATTCTTACACACATTACCTCTCCCGTTCTTA